GGATATACACCAAATTGGACAACGGAAATATTTACAGTTTCAAAAGTTTTACAGATAAATCCAGTAACTTATCAACTAAAGGATGAATCAGACAATATAATCTTAGGTGGTTTTTATGAACAGGAAATTAAATTAACTGATTTTCCAAACACCTTTCTCATTGAACGTATTGTAAAAAAAGTTGGGAATAAAATGTTTGTTAAATGGTTAGGTTTTGATTCAAGTCAAAATTCATGGATAACATCATCAGATATTTTAAAATAAAGATTTTTTTATGTATAATATTTTGTTAATTTTTTTTTTAATTTCCGTAATACAACTTTAAAACATAAAATATATAAGCAGTAATGTTATAAATTATTATAATATCATATCGAACAACTCTATTTCAATTATATATATATATATAATATGTAGTTTTTTTCTTATTTAATAATATTCTTCTTTAATATAGTATGTGGTAATAATATAGTATTAATAAATAGTTTTTTTATTAAGGGATCTCTATAGACAACTTCTTATACACCCTTTAGTATAATATTTATTCTGTTTTTAGCTAAATGTAATCTTTATACGTTTTTATAATTATTATTATTTTGAATAGTTTAGCTGACCAGTCATAAAATATGTTATCAACATAATATTTAATTAAAGTTTCTTAAATTTTAAAACTTAAAATATTGATAATAATAATCAGACATCAGTCAAAGAGACTATGTTCTTTTTCATTTTTTAACTTTATGATATAGTACTGTTTTTTTTATATTTTCAAAAATAAATAAAAGTGAAATAATATCAGTGATTGATTTTTGAATACACTGTATAATATAATTCACTTTTTATTCAATTAACTTTTTTTGGTTGCTTTTTATACTGAACCATTAAGTTTATAGTAACCATAAGCTAAAGTATTTATCGTGTCATCCATTATATGAAGTTTATCATCGTTTGCACTTAGAACAAGTTTGTTCATTGTTTTCGAATGAACAACATGTTTATTTGATTGGATAAAATTCATTTTTCTATGAGTTTGTTCATCCTTGAGAGTTCTATGATTTATAAAAGCGTTTAGTATATCCATATAATTATTAAATTGCATGTGATTTTTAATTATATATTTCTTTACAAATTTTGCCTTTTTTCAAATGGGTTAGCATTAGCATGTGCTAACGAATCTTGAAAATTTTTTTATATAACAATAATGTCATCATCATAGATCGAATTGTTTTTTTTTCTTTCAGTATCACATATATACAGAGGAAAAAATATGTTCTTTGTCATTTAAACTATAAAGATTAATTGATACATCGTTTACACGTTCAAATTTTTTCATCTAACTGATGTGGTGTTGGAAAATCAATACATTTAAAATCTAAACCACTTTTTTTCTGACATTTTAAAATATTTTTTATTTAAAATAAGTTTTATTCGAACGATTATCAAACTTAGATAGTATTGAATATTTAAATCATTTACCATCGTTATTTTTTCACATTTATAGTTGCTCTTTTAACTTTCATATATTCAGGTAAATCTATATACGTTCATCCCCTGAGGGGATTCACTATATTAATTCTTAATTGCAATACATCTATACTCTTAAGAGACCACCCAGATCCTTTCGCTAAAAACTGGTCTTGCTCGGATAATAATTTATCGAACATCCTATTTAATAATTTATTGAAATCGGATGAATTACATGCAAGTGTATTAGAAGTTTTGAATGCTATGTCCTGAACTTCTTGAGTAATTATTCGTTCGTATACACTATCCACATATAAATTAAATTTTATAGATGACTGTAAACATGATTGTTTTAACTTTAAAATTAATTTATCTCTAACATAGTTAAAAAAAAGCGTGTAGTCTATAAAATCTAAAGTATTCTTAATTAATAATGTTTTCGAACATTTTTTAAATCTTTCAATTTCAAATAAACCTTCATCAGAAGACATCATCCGCTGACGTTTTGTAACCGTTTTTCTTTTCATTGTAAAACTGAAAATAGATTAAATAAAAACATAAGCAATAATAATAATATTGTGATATTTTATTATAACATCAACTTCTTTTTTAAAATTTTATGTAAGCAATTTAGAATATTTTGTCAAAATATAATAATAGTATTAATTCTAAATTATTACAAACAAAAAAAACATTTTAGTCAATCCAGTATTAAATTAGTTTTATTTGAACGATTATAAAACTTAGACAGTAATGAATTTTATATACACAGGAATGATATAGGTTATAATTTATTTCAATAACATTCGATATATAATTACAATATAAAATAATAAATAATTTATTTAATCGATTTTATTTCGGAAAAACAGAATTGTATCAACGACTATAATATTCTAATTCTATTCTATCTAATTTATCGTACAATATACTCAAGCCTTTTTGTATATTTCTTTCACATAGAAAGGTTGAATAAATTAAACTTTTAAAATAATTTAATAATTCTTGTTTTTCTTCTTTTAATTTATGTCTGGTTGTTTTCAAAGTCGCATTTTTAATCATGATATTCAAATCTTTCATTTTTTTTCTGAAAGCGACTTTGTCTTCATTCATGCTTCCGTTGTTTGCTTTGAGTTGACACAATATCTTGTTAATTTCTTCCCATATCATTGCTGTTGACTCCATTTTTTTATTCTAGAAAAAAATGCATAGAATTTGTGAACATTTAACTCTTTTATATAAGACAAATTTGGTTTAGAATTTGTTCTACTTAAATAAATAGTGAATTTGAGTTTTCTAATTTTTTTTTTAAGATCTTTATATTCATATCTCTCTTTAATTTTATTTTCATCAATCATCTTCGTTAATGCTACAATCTGCTCTTCATAATAATAAATTTGTTCACAACAATAATTATATGAATGCTAAAAATTCATTATCTATAATTTTAGCTAAATACATTAATATGAAATGTATAATTTATAAATCTAATAATTAAAACGATTATTTATTAAACAACATTGAATATACGTATATAATATATATATATATTTACTGTCAATGATATAATAATTACTAATCATATTATTACATATTAGTTTTAGTCTATATTCAAAGATTCTAATTCTCTGTGCAGTGAATGTAAAGAATTGCGTATGCATAATCGACATTTATAATATGTATATTGTGATTGTTGGTAGTCTAGATTAAGTTGTTTTTTTTTCATATTTTAATTTTTTAATTTTTTGGTTTATTGTTTTAATTTTGTTTTTATGTATATTTTCTTCTTCGTTTTCTTCGTCCAAAGTTTTTTCAAGTAATTCATATTTTTCTTCAATTTTATGTTTTATTAACGTTTGGTTTGAACGAGATTCCATTTTAATTTTATTTTCACCAATCATCTTCGTTAATGCTACAATCTGCTCTTCATAATATTGAATTTGTTCACAACAATAATCATATGAATTCTAAAATTTCATTATCTATAAACTGTAAATGTTAATATTTATTTATTAATCAATATATTCAATAAAATAAAAATAGTCGAGTCATAATAATTATAAGCGATACAATATTATTTTTCCTTTATATTATATTATATTATATTTAACTCATATTATTTGACAAGTTTTCACAACACAGTTAACATAATAACTAGGCAATATAGTATTTATAACATAGAACCATACTTTTAATTACTAATGAAACGTGATCACACGATAATAGAAAATACGCGATAGTTTCTATGCTAGTTCATCGTAATAGTGTGATAGTAACAACTATCGTGTTTACCGTGTATCCGCGGCTTTCGATCAATCTCGATGTAAAAGCTACAAAAATAATTTAAATATATATATTATATACGTTTTAGGATATTATATATTTTTTTATACAGACAGTAAACATTATTGAATATTTTTTTTTTTTAAAATTAAAACATGTTTACGTAAAATAATATTACACGTATAATACAACTATCACATTATCAATACCAAATATTTATAATCAGCGAAAGTATTTCAACGTTGATAAACTATAGATAACCGTAATAGCGTCTGACTACTAGTACACACTACACGTGAACACTGATTCCATAATCACATAATTAACCACACCGTTGAAATTCACGGTATGAGTGCAGTCAAATTTTGAGGTTAAGTTACAATAATTATCAATAATAAGCATGAACTAAGATAATATATCTTAGTTCGTGATAATAAGGAACCCTTAAAACCTCAAAAAAATGTAAACACTTGGCTGATAAGACCGATGTTTTATCTTATCTATGTAAATCTATGATACATTGATACAGCAGTTTTCTATATCGTGGAGTGTGGTCATACAGTCGCATAATTATAACGTATTATTTATTTTATTTAAACATAACTTAACAAAAAAAGAAAACAGCGTATATGATAGTAACTAAAAGTGAGAGTTGAGAAACCGTCTTAAACCACTACTTTTATTCTAATGGTTTTTATTTTATATAATCTGATCTGATGAAATATCTTTAAGTTTGGAAGCACGGTTTTAGATAGAATTTCTATCTAAAGTAATACCTACATGATATAACGTTGATAGTAATATTATAAAGATATATTACAACGATACATTGTTATTATTCTATTTTATTTTATTTATTTTTTTTATTTTAAAAAAGAAGTTTAGATGTTAAATTTAATAAATAACAATATAAAAATAGTACTTACATAGCTTGTGGAAATTTAAGTATTTTTCTAAGTATGATGGCTTGTTGAAGAGGTCTGGTAATCTGCTGGCTGACTGTTGGTTGGCGAAGAAGGCTGTTCTGCTGCTGACTGCTCTTGGAACTGCTCGGGGTCGACGATCGCCCACCTTGTCGTGGTGACCCCGCCCGACCGGGCTTATGCCCGGCGCTAAGAGGCGTTCAAAAACTGTCCGGAGCAGGCCGTCTCCGGACTTCTAACCCCTGGCGCGGATAATGCAACCGCCGAACTAGCCCGCCGGCGGCCAGAGTGTGTAGGGCTACTTGGGGCAGCCCCCCAACACTAACAAATATGAAAACACAAACAAAAATAGATGATGGTACCGGCACAGAGGCCCAGGAAACCTCAGGCCCGGCAGGTGTGGGTGAGCTCGCCACACAGGTCGTGATCAGTAGCTCTGGTTATGCGAAAATGAATATGGAACGGCTAAATAGGATTATGAAGACAACGGATAGTGTACTAAGACTCAGAGGAGGAGGAGACTCCGAATCTGATGATGGCACAAATGCTAGTTCAAGTGGTGCGATGGCAGTCGATCAAGGGACTATTAACCACCCGGCAAAGGCGAAATCGGCTAGTGTCGATAACGTGGCTTTGCTAAAGAAGTTAAATAACCACATTGGGTTTATAGAGCAGACGGTCATAAATGAAAGGACCAAGAAACTGACTGCCGGGGCTGCAGACGGCATAAGCGCCAGGCTTAAGAATATCAGAGATATACATACGGAACTCTGTATGGAGAACAGTCGTCTCCAAGGCGTTACGCAGTTCAGTGCCGCGGAACTTAAGGGTTTGCTGGACACGTTCTCCAGGGCGCAAAAAGAAAAAAGTAAGGAGATAGAGGAACTCCGCCTCGAAAACCTCGTGCTCAAAGAAAGTTTGGAAGAGCTAGCCAATAACTATGGACCCAAAAAGGTAACTTATGCCGATGCGACAAGCAGCGCAATTAAAAGTGTTTTCAGCGCAGAAGAGGCGCCGGGACCCGATGCTCCGCTAACAACGGCGAAGGGTAACAATAGAGAAAAGCCCAAGACCAAGGCTTCTAAGAGAAAGTCACTCGATAAGTGCCGCCAGTCGGCGGTGAAGACTGGATTTGTGGTCGATGTGCCTGAAAGTATGACGGTAGCCCAAGTGAAGTCTGAACTGTGGAAGACAGTGCAAAAGAAATTGCCAAATCCGAGGGCCAAAACCATAGTTCAGGGTAAGACGATTATCGTCGTCCCTGATGATAAAACTACGTTCGAGGTGCTAAACAGGGTTCCGAACATCAGGTCTGTTGGGCCTAGGCAACCCAGAATTATAGTTTATGATGTCGATGACGACATCAGTGGCGAACAAATAGCCCACGGAATAATGGAACAAAATCCAGAGTTGGAGCTAACAGAGGACGACGTCGAGTGCTTGGTCGTAAGCCATAAGACGGGCCCGAGGGGAAAAGGCAGCTCCCACTGGGTACTTGAGACGCCACCGTGCGTCCTCAAGAAACTAGAAAATAAGTCGGTCTTCCTTGGAATGACCAGGTGCAGGGTCAAGCTGTACCAAAGTACAGTGCAATGTTTTAAATGCCAGAGGTACGGACACACCGCGACGAGGTGTAATCAGGCTGAGTCCACCTGTAAGCACTGTGCTGGTCCGCACGACAGCCGCGAATGCAGCGACAAGATGAATAAAAAATGCGCAAACTGTAAGCTTGCACACCAGGCCTCTAGTTCAGCGTGTAAGGCCAAAGAACAGGCACTTAGAAGCCTATTAAGGCGCACGGACTTTGGCCAGCAATGACTGAGCCAATCCGTATAGTCCAAAACAACCTGAACAAACAAAGGATTGCGAGCCAGCAGCTGGCTGACTTCTGCAGAATAAACAGAGCTGACCTGGTATTACTGCAAGAACCTATAGTGTCGTACGGGAAAATCGTCGGCTTCGAGACGTACAGGCAGGTACACTCAGGTAATAAGGCCGGAGCCGCCATTGTCATTATGAACAACCATATACAGGTGCTCAGCCTAGAACAGTTCAAAACCGATTATACTGTAGCGGTTAGCATAGGCACAAGGGAGCAGGCAATCATAGTTGTCTCATCTTATTTCAAGTATTCACTGCCCACAAATGACTTCATCGAGCAACTAAGGCCGATATTCGACAGAGAAGTTAACACAATAGTCGGGGCGGATGTGAATGGCCACTCAACCCAATGGCACTCCTCAGAGAGCAACGAAAGAGGACGACAGGTTGAAAATCTAGCTGAGGACTATTTGCTCCATATAGTTAACTTGGAAGGAACGCTAAATACTTATGATCGACCTGGAATGGGCTCATCTAATATTGATGTGACTATGATAACAAGAGGCATGATTGGCCAAGTGACTAACTGGTCTGTCACCGATGCCACGGACAGCGACCACCGTGTGATCAGCTTCGAAGCCATAATGGCGAGGCCATGTCCTGAGCCTGGCAATACAAGGTACCGAACAGACAAGGCTGATTGGGCCAAGATGACAGCGTACTTGGCAAGCCATGTTGGGGATATCGATGAGCGGACCGTAGATAGTCACGCAGATAGTCTGATAACGCTGCTAAAGGCCGCGGCAGATTTATCAATTCCACGCACAAGGTCAGCTGGCCGGCCACCAGGAAGACAAGCATGGTGGAGTCCTGAACTGACCACCCTCAAAAAGACATTAGAAAGATCTCGAAGGCTCGGACAGAGGGTTAACGAACCAGAGACCTACAGAGCGCACCGTAATAGATACCTTGCGGAGATCAGGAAAGCAAAGATGGCGTCATGGCGAGCATTGGCAGGAGACCTAAACACGAACCCCTGGGGCAAAGCCTTCAGGTGGGCGAAGAGGAAAGGTGTCCCGCCTAGTACGGTACAAGGAAACCTGCGGAGGGCAGATGGCTCATATACAGGAAGCGTTGAAGAAACAGCTGAATTACTGCTAAGGGCATTCGTCCCAGATGAAACGGATGGTGGCAGATTTAGTCACCATGGGCCCCTCGACGACGGTGTGGAATCACCCACGGCCTCCGAGGTCAAAGCCTCAATATGGCGGATTAAGCCAAATAAAGCGCCCGGGCTAGATGGTCTCACTGCCAAAATAGTGAGGAAAGCCTGGCCGATAATCGGGACAACTTTAACCAAACTTTATGGTGCAGCGATAAGAGAAAGCTATTTTCCCCTTAGTTGGCGAAGGGCCAACGTCATCGTGATCCCCAAAGGTGGAGACAAAGATCCGGCGACTACGGGAGCCTACAGACCGATAAGCCTATTACCGGTTCTGGGAAAAGCTCTAGAAACTTTCCTCATCAGGAAAATCGAAAATGAGACGAACTTAAATCATATAGGTGAACAACATGGCTTTGTACAAGATAAGTCCACGATCACGGCGATAAATACTCTATACAACTGGGTCCATGAGACTAAGAGCAGACACGTCATGGGCACGTTCCTGGACATAACAGGGGCGTTTGACAATGTAAGCTGGAGCCCGCTATTAAATCAAATGGTGAAAATTGGAGCCTCACTAAGCACGACCAGAATGACAAAGTCATACCTAGAGAATAGATGGGCACAAATAAAGCTGGAAAGGAATATGTATGAAAAGAAGATGGAGATAGGCTGCCCTCAGGGATCGCAGCTGGGACCTACTCTCTGGAAGGTTGCGATGTCCGAACTGCTTGCACTGCCGCAAGAGCCCAATGTCAAAATCATTGCTTATGCAGATGATATTGCCCTGTTGGTCGGGGCTGCAAGACACGACACAGTTGTGGCAAGGACTGAAAATTATCTAGACAAGATAAAGAGTTGGGCTGGTACATATAACCTGTCCTTCTCCCCGACCAAAACTCAGGTCATGTCAATTAAGGGTGGAGTAAAGGCGGGATACATAGTAAGATTTGGTACAGATGAAGCTGCCCCTAGAATCACAGCTGCCGGTACTGTAAGATACCTTGGGGTGATCCTGGACCCAAGAGAGGGGTATTGGAACCATGTAGAATCATTGGCCGAAAAGTCTAAAAGTCTGTACAGCAGACTAAGAACCCTGGCTTCAGCGAACTGGGGCATCAGCCAACTGACGTCCAGAACACTGTACAAAGGGGTGTTCCTACCAAGAGTGACGTATGCATCAGAGATATGGGCGGCAGGCGCTAAACTAAAGAAATCGATAAAGAAACTTGGCAGCATGCAAAGGCCACCTCTGCTAGCCATGACTGCAGCCTATAGGACAGCATCAACCAACTGTCTGTCGGTGGTAGCAGGCGTGCTACCTCTGGATCTAGAGGTGGAGAAAAGCGCTCTACAAAAACGGCTGAAGAGTGGGGAAATAACCCTAGATCAGTTTAAAGACCACGAATCGGAAATATTTACTAGATGGCAGGATAGATATGAATCCACGGATAAAGGGGAATGGACGAAAACTATGATTCCTAGCGTGCGGGAACGGTATATGCTGCCTATGCCGCTAGACCACTATACGACGCAGATGTTGACGGGGCACGGGGACTTTAAGTCCAAATTGTTCAAATTCAAATTAGTGGCATCACCCAACTGTGGATGCAGGGGCGGTTCAGAAACGGTGCAGCATGTACTATACCGATGCTCAAGAACGGAAGACTACCGTAAGGAACTGATGGCAGCAATGGCCGCGGAACAGGAAGGCTGGCCACCTAGCAATGGAGCGTTCCTTAAAACGAGGAAGACATACGAAGCGCTCAGGAAATTTGCAAGACAGTCGCTCAAAAACCGGTCCGATAGGTAATGTCCATGGTATGGACTACGGTCAGGACGCAGCCACACCAGGCGGTGTATGTGCATAGACTCGGGGTGTCCCGAATGAGCACGCACGGTGTAAGCGGCACAAGCGGTGGGGCACGCTCGAGCGCGTCTTGACCAGGGGCGTGCTCATGCGCCCAGGGCGAGAAGTTCGGCCCTGTTGCTGGGGCCGTCCAGAATTCAGCACCAGTATTCCCTGCTTGTCGTAAGAGGCGACTGAAAGGGAAATGGCCAGTCGGGGCCGGCGTCCGGGACGCGGACACACCGAAACCTCCGGGGACTAGGGTGTTGGAGGTTCTGACTGCGACCTCGTGAAGAGCGAGTCGATCACCTCGGTGATGCCTCTGGGAGGCGTGGCAAAGGCTACCGAGCCTTGAACTTGGGGGTCGCGGCCACCGCGCCAGGGCGACCGCCGCTGGTAAGGGCCCACCGTGAGCCCGTGATACACGATCCTAATCTTGGTAGGACCACAGCTGAGACTCCTGGTCGACGAAGCTCGGCCCGAACATCCAACCACTGATGTGCTTTCCTAACGGGAGCGAAAATGGTACTTCGGGATGTGGGGGGGCCCCGCGGCGTCGAGTTGATTGACGACGTGCCCTCACACGGCGGTCGCGCCCAGCCTCGGTTGCGGCGCGGTCGACGGCGGTTTGGTTTCGGAGTGGCTGTTAGCAGGAGCTAACCCTATGGTTAAAAGACCAAATGCTCGGTCTAGGGGAAGGTTGCCGAGTGAGAAACTCCTTAGTGCTCACCCAGCCTACCGGTGGGGCTATATGCACCGGAGGTTGCCCGTAACCAAAAACGGGAAGCAATGAGGATAGCTTGCGACCCGACCTGGGTGGCGAAGGGTACGTGCATGCCTCAGCCAACGGTACGGGCGCACTCTCTCCCGACTTCGTTGGGAACGGGTGTGCGCACGGTGCTCGTGGTCCATATACGACGCGCGGGCGGTGGTTGGTGGCAACGCCACCGTACGCCGACCGTGAACCTCCGCGGCTCTCGACTAGCGCACAGCGCTAATGTGAGGTCCGCGGTTGTAGCCGCAAGGCATCAAACTCGGGAGTCTTCGTGCTCTTGGAACTGCTGTGGACTGCTGTTGCTTGAACTGATGACGATAAGCTAAGAAATTCTGTGTATTATACTCGAAAATAGCCCCTCTCTGTTCATATCAGAAACTTTTTCAGAATGGATTTAATCATTTTAATATATTACATATCCTGTTTTTATATTAGAATGACATTGGTGTGTATGTAAATTATTTTAAATCCTGATTGTAATAATTTACATTCATATAGTGTACCTAATTATAATATGAAAGTGTAACATGTTCGTTACAAAAGCAATTTATGATAGCAACAATTTAAATTCATATAATGTAATTTCCTGTTGTACCTCTATGTACATGTTTCGACCGGTTTCTATAAGGTAAGGTCATTGCTGTGGAAATTTGTGTTTTAAATTATTGAAGTAGTGGCAAAATCTGTGTATAAAAGACAGAGGGAATTCACTAATATTGTTACATGCGGCCCTTTAGGGATCCAATAGCTGGTGTACTTTGATAAATAATAATAGAGAATTAGTATGGTAATCAAATGTATTATATTAAACCAGACAAAATAAGCAGAATAATAGTGTTGATTGTAGCGAATTGTAGCTCGTTCCGAAATTGATAATCTCCGTGTAAGTTGTGTGTGATGGCTGGGCGGCTAAGCGAGTCGTGTGGTGTTCTCGTCTCTGGATACATCTACTTTGGCTGTCTCGCTGTCCCCTATATATATGGTGGCGGCGTCCTTTGAAGTGAGCGGCGCGTGTACAGTCGTCCTTGATATGGACCTCACGACTATGGAAGTGGTATTCTTAGTCAAAAACACTTTTGGGTGTGGTCGCATTCCTGGTTGTTTTTATGAGCAAATATATGATATTGCGTAATCCCATTCCTGGTTGTTATTATGAGCAAATACATGATATTGCGTAATCCCATTACACCTCCCTACCAAAAAAAGAT